CGTCATCCTGTCCACATCCCTTCTCGTTCCCGCTCCCTCTCTTTCTCTCTCTCTCTGTCTCTCTCTCTCCTGTCTCCTCTGCTAACATAGCTACTCTTCTCGTCTCTCTCGTCTTTCCGTGACTCTCTAGCTCTCTGCTCCGGCTGCTTTCTCTGGACTCTCTCCGAGTATTCTCCTCTCGCTCCTACATCCCTGCTCTCTCGCCTCTCTCTCTCCTCCGCCTCTGTCCATTTCTCGGCGGTCTCTCTTCTCTCGTGCTCGCTCCTCGTCTGCTGCTCGTAACCCTCTGTCACGCTCTCGCTCTCCTCCCAGTGCTCTATCCGCCCCTCCTCTCCTGCTGCCTCTCTTTCCCCTTCTCCTTCTCCGGATGTCGTCGCTTTCTCTCTGTCTCCTCTCTCTCTCTTCCCCTCTCGCACCTCCTCTCTCTCGTCTCTCTCTCTCTCTCTCTCGTCTCTCTCTCGTCTCGTCTCGTCTCTCCTCTGACTCTCTCTCTCTCTCATCTCTCCGCCTTCGGTTCCCTCTCTCTCTCTCTCTCTCTCTCTCTCGCTCTCGCTCTCTCTACTCTCTCGCTCTCTCTGCTCTCCTCCCCTCCTCTCTCTCTCTCCCTTCCATCCGGTCCCCCTTTCTTTCTCTCTCCTCCCCCTCACTTTCTCTCTCCTTCCCCCTCTCTCTCTCTCGCTCTCTCTCACTCTCCCCCTCTCTCTCTCTCCTGCTGCAGTGCTTCGTGCTCGTGCGTAACGACTGCGCTGCGCGGCCGGAGCGCATCATGGGCTGGCACCCATCAACTCGGTCGGCGTGCGCTCGGGGCCGTGGATGTGCCCGCCGGTCAGCGCCGAGATCATGATGATGACAGTGAGCCTGTTCCAGTGCTGCCGCGAGCCGCACTTCTGCAACAACCAACTGCAGCCGACGCGGCCCAAGGGCTGCGCCACCGAGCCGCGTGCGTACGTCCGCGTCGCTTCGTTCCCGATCGCGCCCTCGATCCCTCTCCTCTCGATCCCTGCGCTCTGTCCGTCCCTGCGTGTCGTCGTCGTTCGTCGTGCCCCTCTGTGTGTGTCGTTTCGTCATCATTTCTCGTATGTCGGTCCCCTTCTCTTCCTGCGCAGTGCTCCATCCATCTTTTCTCGTGTGTTGTCCCTCCATCTCTCCGTCTGTGACTCGCTCGTCGATCTCTCCCCATGTGGTGCTTTTTGCATCTTTTCCTGTGCCGTTCTCTCAATCCCTCCCTGCGCATTCCTACGTCGTTCCCTCACTGTGTGTCGTTCCCTCAATCCTCCCTGCACGTCGTTCTGTCTATCCCTCCGAGTGTGTCGTTCCCTCTGTGTCGTTCCCTCCATCCCTCCCTATGTGTCGCAGCTCCCTGCCCATCCCGTCCTCCTTATGTGTCAGTCCCCTCCATCTCTCCACGAGCGTCGGCTCCTTGTCCAGTGTCTATTCCCTCCCTGTTGTCGCCTTCCTCCATCCCTCCCTATGTGTCAGTCCCTCCATCCTTCCTTATGTTTCAGTCCCTCCATCTCTCCACGAGCGTCGCTCTGTCCAGTGTCTATCCCTCCCTGTGTCGTTCCCTCCATCCCTCCCTATGTGTCAGTCCCTCCATCCCTCCTTATGTTTCAGTCCCTCCATCCCTCCCATGAGCGTCCGCCTCTGTCCAGCCATAGTCTATCCCTCCCTGGCTGTCGTCCCTCTATAAAAACCCTCCTTCATGTGTCAGTTCCTCATCCTTCCTTCATGTGTCACTCCCTTTCCATCCCTCCATGAGCGTCGCTCTGTCCAGTGTCCATCCCTCCCTGTGTCGTTTCCTCCATCCCTCCTTATGTGTCAGTCTCTCCATCCTTCCTTATGTGTCAGTCCCTCCATCCCTCCACGAGCGTTGCTCTGTCCAGTGTCCATCCCTCCCTGTGTCGTTCCCTCCATCCCTCCCTATGTGTCAGTCCCTCCATCCTTCCTTATGTGTCAGTCCTTCCATCCCTCCATGAGCGTCGCTCTGTCCAGTGTCCATCCCTCCCTGTGTGTCAGTCCCTCCTTCCCGTTTTTCCCCCCTGTTTTCTGTTTCAGTCCCTCCATCCCTCCACGAGCGATTGCCTGCTCCGAGTGTGTCATCTCTCCCATGTGTCGTTTCCCTCCATCCCTCCCTTATGTGTCCGAGGCCCTCCATCCCTTCCATTACTGTGTCAGTCTTCCATTCCCGTTCATAGAGCGTCGGCTCTGTCCACGTGTCCATCCCTCCCTGCCTTGTCAGTCCCTCCTCGCCTCGTCATCCACGCGCGTCAGTGCACATAGAGGCATTATAGTATGGTCAAACCTATAGTAGCAGACGCTTCTATAGAATGGACGTCCATTTATGAAGGAGGTCAATTATCGTTGAGTTGTTGTAATTGCGTAATTTTTTGTTATCACCTTGCTCACATCAAAAATACTAACAGTGCTTTTTCAAGTATATATGTACCACTTAGCGGAGTCAAGACGAGCATTGTTGTCATTCACTCCGACCCCGGCTTGCCCGGCTCTGGGATGCAGCGTTGCACTTACCATGGTCATGTTTTACTTGTTCCAGCGTATTATCCAGACATGCTCGATTAACATCGTCATCAGCAGTCAACAAAAACATTTTTTTTTTTTTTTACTCCTGATGTTGTAGTATGTTATTACGTTATGTGTGATGCTATGCTGATATATGGGTATGTGTATTATATGATTATATCATTATAGTTACGGTATATAATGTATATATATATACCATAAGTATATGACTATATATAATAGAATATATGGGTGTATACAGTGGAGTTGTGCAGGTGCAGCTGATGTGGAGCTTGTTTCTTGAGACGGAGTTGTTCTGCGCCCCTTAGTGTCTGTCAAGACGACCGGAGCGATCGTGGCCTGTCAGTAGACATCGCACTCGTCACCGCCGCTACCAAGCCGAGGCCAGCGCATTCCCGCCATCCTCATCATCATCGCGTCGTTGCCACGGTGATCTTCATCATGCGCAGGATGCACAAGCAGCAGGTAAAGGAAGGGAGAGTAAGGGAGCGAGAGAGAGAGAGAGAGCAGAGTATAGATCAGATAAGAGAGAGGATGCGGAGCAGGCAGATGCCGAGGATGAGAGTCGCTAGAGAAGAGAGGACGAAGAGGGACTGAGAGACGAGACGGATGACGGACGAGAGATGCAGCAGAGACGTGAGGACGAGGAGGGGGCATGCAGGACGTGGGGATGCCAGGCACGGACGTCCGGGGGCAAGGGCGGAGAGAGACTGGAGAGAGAGAGAGAGAGAACATAGACTACGGAGGATATCGACCCTAGCGAGAAAAGACTTGAGAGCGGGGGCGGAGTGGGCCGTGCTGGATAGAGAGAGATATAGATAGATAGACTAGATAGAGCAGAGGACGGATGAGAGACCGACGAAGAGAACGGTGCGAGCGGGCAGAGAAGACCCGAGCGACCTGCAGGAGAGAGAGAGAGAGGATGAGAGGAGACTGACACGGTAGAGAGGAGAGCAGGCGCGACGATGACGGGCCGGCGCCGACTCGCCAGAGCGTGACAGAGTGCGGGGAGAGACGAGAGAGAGAGAGAGCCCGAGGGAAGATGAGCAGAGCCACTAAGGACGAGACGAGATGAAGAGAGAGCTGGCGGCCATAGGCCGACGCGGGAGAGACGCAGAGAGAGAGACGAGGACGACGAGAGAGAGGACTAGATAGATCTAGATAGATTTAGATAGATAGATAGATGGACGGAGAGAGGAGAGAGTGCGCCGAGAAGCTCACACGCTGAAGGAGAGAAAGACGAAACATAGAGAATAGCAGGCGATGCCAGCACAGTCGAGACAGGAGCGACGACGAGAGCCCTTCACCTCACCAATCTCGTGGGCGTATCCATTAGTGCTCCCAGTTCATCGACCGGGTGTCCCCCTTCTCTTCCTTCTTTTTTCCCGGCCCACAAGCTGAGCGCTCGCCGAACGCCGCGCCAGCGGTTGACTCGTGGGGACACGCCGGGAGTGCAGGCGCTCGGCCGGCTGCGCGTGCCGACAACATGCAGCGTCGTAGTGCCGCGGGGAACTCGGCTGTGTCCTGCGCCGGGGAGAGAGGCACTGCCTGTACGCAGCTGGTGGACGGAGGCATGGAACTCGTCCGGCAGCGGCGCCGGAGGCATGGGTCCGAAGGCGTGGGGTCACGCGGGATCGCGGGATGCCAAGCCGTCCCAGAGCGCCACGGATGTAGCGAGTCAGGCATCAAAGCTGCTGGGCTGCATCGCGTAAGGTCCGCATGGTGCTTCGTGAGTCATGCGCTCCGTAAGGTGCGATGGCGGCTAGGGTGCGCGCGGCTGCCGATCGCCGATACGCCGCGGTTGGAAAGAGGTGGGTGGGGCCTGCGGGCCACTGCCAGTTTGCCGTAGCGGGTGCGGTCTGGCCGTGTTCGCCTCCGGTCTCCCGGCGTGCACCCGTGCCTAGACGGCGGTGCCCCGAGCTGGGCTGGTTGTAGGCGGGGACGCGTGGCGGGTTGGGGTAGGGGGTGAGGGGACTGTTCGCACGCCGCCGTGGCCCGGACTGCCAGCGCTGTGTGCCTGAGCGGCCAGGAGTGGCTGGGCGTATCGCTACGGGTGGACTGAGGTAGGCTGAGCGGCAGTGGCGACGCGGATCTGGTGGCGGCCATGCCGCGTCTGGCGCATAGACGGAGTGTGCCAGCGTGCGGGCTGGGTGGGCGAATGCAGGTGTAGGGAGGACTGCTGTGCTGCACTATGGCGGCGGGCTGCCAGACGTCGCCTAGGTCGTGGGGCCTGCTGTGCTACGCGGTTGGGTCTGGTGTGTAGGGGCGTTGCTGAGGGCGGGCGGCTGGGGTGGTAGCGGCTGGCGGGGCTGCGGTCGGCTCGGACGGTGTCAAGCCGGGTTCTGCGGGACGCTGTGCTAGGGCGGGGAGGCGTGGGCGCGAGTCGGATGCCCCTATGAGTCCGGATGGTCGGCCTGCAGAGGGCGTAGGTGTGCAGATAGCGGCTGGCCGGGCCTCCGGATCTTGTGTCCTAGGGCGGTGGAGTGGCTACTTGCGTCTCACCCCGGGTGGATAGGACGGCGGACTGGTGTGCCATATGGCGGGGCTGGTGGTAACCGGGCCGGGTGGGAGTGTGTTGCGTGAGGGCAGCGTGGTGCGTAACGCCTGGTGGGGTGGTACGGTGGGACCTGGTTGCTAGCCCGCGCCGCCGGATCTGCAGGCTGTGTGCTCTTATTCTGGGGGGGGAAGTCGTGTCGCTAAGGGTGGGGGCTGTGCGGTCGCGCGTCGCTAAGAGTGAGCGGACTGTCCCCCCCTCGGCCCGCCCATTGGCCAGTGTGCTAGGCCTAGGGTGACGGTAGGATCGTGTGCTAGGGTCGGCGGGCTGAGGTCGTAGAGTGGGGGACCTGTGTGCGCTTAGCGGGTGGGGCGAGGGGTGTCTAGGGGTGGACTGGTGTGCCCTAGGCTAGCGGCGGCCGATCGCGCGCGATCGCAGCACTTGCTATCGGTGGGGGCCTGGGTGGTAGAGTGGCGGACTGTGTTGCTAGGCTAGGGTGGGTGATCGTGTGCTAGGGTGGGGGCTGGGTGGTAGGGTGGGGACTGTGTGCTAGGCTAGGGTGGGTGATCGTGTGCTAGGGTGGGGGCTGGGTGGTAGAGTCGGGACTGTGTGCTAGGCTAGGGTGGGGATCGTGTGCTAGGGTGGGGCTGGGTGGTAGGGTGGGGACTGTGTGCTAGGCTAGAGTGGGGATTGTGTGCTAGGGTGGGGGCTGGGTGGTAGAGTGGGGACTGTGTCATAGGCTAGGGTGGGGGCTGGGTGGTAGAGTGGGGACTGTGTCATAGGCTAGGGTGGGGGCTCCCACCTGCTTACTGCTCATCCTTTCACTCACTAAACGTACGACTGTACGACTTCTTACCCTCTAACTGTTCCACCCCTTACCCACTAGCTGTTCCACCATCCAGTCGCCCACCCACACCAGTATTCTCAATGCCATCATTCCATCCCCATCTTTGTATCTTGAACGGAATCGTTAACAATGAATGCTGAGCAGTGATACCACACTCAATGATGAGGGTAACATGATAGTTACTCGTGTGTGTATATTATTATTATTATATTTTCATATATATTTATATTATTATATATATTTATTATTATTATTATTATATTATGTGTGTATTATGTGTGAGTAGTATGATGAGTGACTCGATGATGAGTGGATGGAGAGGATGCAGACATTCTACTATTATATTCTCATCTGCAGGTAAGGGCAAATATTGCGAGGTGTGGCACGGCAAGTGGAAGTGGGGGAAGGTCGCCGTGAAGATCTTTCCATCGAGAGAGGAGCTGCAGTGGAGGAGAGAGATCGAGATTTACAACACAGCCTTCCTGCAGCATGAGAATGTGCTAGGTGAGTTCATCTGTCCGGGAGAAGCCACCACCACCGCAGCTCACATCCACATGTTCACACCTCGGCCATACACAAACGCACCGCATTCGGTTGTAGTTTTGCGATAGGTATCTCAGGATGTGTATGAAATCGATATATAATGTGTGGAATACATATATATGCTTATATAATTATAACTTCGGGGAGGAATGTTCATATACTAGCTGGAGTTTCGTTGAATGGGATTGTAATGGTGCTTGCAAGCTTTTAGCCGAGTAGCATCTTCACAAAGTGGCATATGTGTTTAGTGTCACTGCCTTGTGATCAGTCAATCAATAATCAATTAAGCATTAATCAATAATCAATTGAGGCCATGTGTTGCCGCGTACATGGGATCGGTCCCGAGAAGCGAGAGCATATGCATGCATTTAACCAATCAATGTTTCAATCAATAACCAATAATAACTTGGTGATCAATAATCAATCAATGATCTGGTGTTGCAGCGTACATGAGCTCGGACCCGGCGAGTAAGGGCGGCTGAATGGATTTAACCAATCAATCGTTATCAATCAATAGTCAGTCATTGATCAATTGTTAATCAATCATCTGGTGTATATATTTGTAGCATACAAGGACTTTGACCTAGCGAGTTAGGATGGATGCATGCATTAAAACAATCAATCGTTAATCAATCAGTAATCAATTATCAATCAATCAGTAATCAATTATCAATCAATCAATAATCAATCAATCGTCCGGTGTTGCAGCATACATGGGCTCGGACCTGGCGAGCGAGGGTGGCTGCACTCAGTACTGGCTCGTCATGCAGCTTCATGAGGCTGGCTCTCTCTACGATCATCTGCAGCAGGTGGACAGCGTCGATGCTGAGCGGTTGTTCTGCATCGTAGGAACCTCACTCGCCGGTCTGCTACACCTACACACGCGCTTCTGCGGCATCCAGGGTACGTTCGAGCGTGTTCACAGTACGGTTGCGTTCAGGGTATGCTGTTGTTCACGGTACGGTTGCTTTCAAGGTATGCTGGTGTTCACGGTATGCTGGTGTTCAGGGTATGTTGGTGTTCAGGGTATGTTGGTGTTCAGGGTATGTTGGTGTTCAGGGTATTTTGGTGTTCAGGGTATGTTGGTGTTCAGGGTATGTTGGTGTTCAGGGTATTTTGGTGTTCAGGGTATGTTGGTGTTCAGGGTATGTTGCCGTTCAGGGTATGCTGGTGTTCAGGGTATGCTGGTGTTCTGGGTATGCTGGTGTTCAGGGTATGCTGGTGTTCCGGGTATGCTGGTGTTCATGGTATGGGGGTGTTCAGGGTATGCTGGTGTTCAGGGTAGGCTGGTGTTCAGGGCATGTTGGTGTTCATGGTATGCTGGTGTTCAGGGTATGTTGGTGTTCAGGGTATGTTGGTGTTCATGGTATGCTGGTGTTCAAGGTATGCTGGTGTTCAGGGTATGATGGTGTTCAAGGTATGTTGGTGTTCAGGGTATGCTGGTCTTTAGGGCATGGTTGTATTTAGGGTACGGTTGCATTCAGGGTATGGTTGTATTCAGGGTATGGTTGCATTTGGGGTACAGTTGCATTCAGGGTATTGTTGCATTCAGGGTATTGTTGCATTCAGGGTATCGTTGTATTCAGGGTATTGTTGCATTCAGGGTATCGTTGTATTCAGGGTACAGCTGCATTCAGTGTAAGATTGCATTCAGAATATGATTGCATTCAGGGTATGATTGTATTCAGAGTATTGCTGCATTCAGGGTATGCCACTATTCGGGGGTGCGCTGGCATTCACGATGCCTTTCGTTCCTCAGCTGTTTGATCTAAGCTTCGCTCGTGCGTGTCTCAGGCAAGCTGGCGATCGCTCACCGGGACCTGAAGTCACGTAACATCCTCGTGAAAGCCAGCGGGGACTGCTGCATCGCTGACTTTGGGCTGTCACTCGTGCAGAAAGCCGACGGAACGCTAGACGTCGGTGATAACCTCATAGTGGGAACAAAGAGGTGACGAAAAGAGGCCAGCAGAGCTGTTAGTAGATGGAGAGCGGAGCGAGGTGTGGTGGTGGGAGGAGGGAGAAGGGAGAGCGCGAGGTGTGGTGGTGGGAGGAGGGAGAAGGGAGAGCGCGAGATGTGGTGGTGGGAGGAGGGAGAAGGGAGAGTGCGAGATGTGGTGGTGGGAGGAGGGAGAAGGGAGAGCGCGAGATGTGGTGGTGGGAGGAGGGAGAAGAGAGAGCGCGAGGTGTGGTGGTGGGAGGAGGGAGAAGGGAGAGCGCGAGATGTGGTGGTGGGAGGAGGGAGAAGAGAGAGCGCGAGGTGTGGGGGTGGGAGGAGGGAGAAGGGA